CAAGCACATTTGTACATATGTTGCCATCATTTTCAAAACATTTTCTTTCTATTTGAGCCCTTGGTATCAGCTCACTCCCCCCCCTCCCCCTCTTCCTCATGAACCTTTGATAAGTTATAAATTATGATTTTCACCCTATTTGTAAATAAGATCATACAGTTTGGCCTTTGACATATTTTTGAAGTATTCGATTCAACCCATAACAGCATATCAAACAACCTCCCCACTCAAAAAAGACCCAAACTCACAGCCAACAAGTTGGTTCTGACTCACAGTGACCAAATAGAACAGGGTAGAACTGCCCAGTAGGTTTCCAAGGCTGTAACTCTTTTCATGTATAGAATGCATCATTTTTCTCCCAAGGAGTGGCTGGGTTTCAAACTGCTGACCTTGTGGTTAGTAGCCCAATGTACACATAATGCACTATGCCACTATGCTATTCATATAATACCATACAAAGGAATACTATTCGGCAATAAAAAGAAAGCCAATGACTGGCACATGCTCTGCCATGAGTAACCCTCAAAACCATTGTGCTCAGTAAAAGGTGCCACTTTGCATGGATTGTGACACTGGAGGCCACATAATCCATGACTGACACTAAATGTAGATTAGTAGTTTCCTGGGACTTGAAGTTGGAACTGTACCTGGTCGCAACAGACTTTATTGTATGTGTGTGTGGAAATGGTCTCTAACGAATTTATGGTGATAATTGCTCTTCTTAGCTGCCATTGAGTGGGTCCTGACACGTAGACTGCTCCTTACAACAGAATGCAACCTTGCCTAGTCCTATCCCCTCCGCACAAGCGTTCCTAAGTTTGAGCCTGTGTTGCAGCTACGGAGTCAGTCTATCTAGTTGAGCGTCTTCCTTTTTTTCACCGACCCCTCTACCTAACATGATGCCCTTCTCCAGGAATTGGTCCTCCTGATAACAAGTCCAAAGTATGTGAGATGAAGTCTCACCACGCTAGTTCTAAGAAGCATTCTGGTTGTACTTCAACACAGACTTGTTGGTTCTTCTGGTAGTCCATGATAATCTCAGTATTTTTGACAAAACCTTAATTCAAATGCATCAGTTCTTCTCCGGTGTTCCTTATTCATTCTCTGGCTTTCACGTACAGATGAGATGGTTAAATGCCATGGCGTGGGTCAGGAGCACCTAAGTCCTCAAAGTGACACCTTTGCTTTTTAAAATAGGTCTTGCTTGTGCAGCAGATTTGCACAATGCAACATGTCCTTTGATTTATATTGCTGCTTCTGTGGGTGCCAATTATGTCAATATCCTTGACAATTTCAATCTATATATTCCATTTATCATGAAGTTGTTTATTGGTCCAGTTGTTAAGGATTTTCATATGTTTGCATATAAGTATAATCCACACGGGAAACTGTAGTCCTTGATAGTTGTACCACTTGATAAAGTTACTAAAAATCATTGAATTGCAGCACATTTGAAATAGGTGAGCTTTATTGTATGTGAAATATACCCCAATAAAGTTGTGATAAAAGAAAAAGTTTGTGAGTACAACATTTACACTTCTTGGTCTCAAATGCATTAACATTTAAAAAGTATACGATCCTGTATAAGCTTTTGTGGTTTATCACCCTCATCATTTTAACAACAAATATTTAAGGGTAAAGCTCTCTGCTAATTAATATAGGTATAGGTATGGGCATAGAAATACCATATTTTTGC